CCGAGCGGGGGGCGGGGCCCGAGCGGGGGCCGGGACGTCAAGCCGGGTCCGGGGGTCGTGCGTGAGGTTGGAGGGAAGCGAACGCGGCACCGGGGCGACCCGAGATAGGATTTGAGCGGCAGGGGCGACAAGGGCGGTCCCTGAGCCTCGGGGGACGGGGGTTTGGCTTTGGGGGTCGACACCTTCCTCGAACCCCTTGTTCCCCTATGATGTCAGACGCAAGGGCCTGGCGGGCAAGAAGCCGGTGCCTGGAAGCTGGCTTCTCTTTCCCCATGACCTTGGGGTGAGCTATCTCCGTCTGCAGCGCCGTGGGTGGGACTTTTTAACGTTTCCCAGCACAGATTCAGCTCCGTGCGAGGCGCGGCCACGCCCCATCCAAGCCGGAGCAATGATTGCCGGCGCGTCAGAACCCGAGGCGCGAAAGGGAGGAGGGGCCTGGTACCAGGCCGCACACCGGGCCCAGCCCTGTCAGGCCTCCAGCAGCCTCAGTTTCCCTGTCCGTGGTGCTGAGGACTCCAGAGCTTAGATGCTCGCGGCGGGCAGGCAGGCATCCCGCAGCGGAGTCGCCTTAGCCACCAGGAACTCTGGCCAAAGGTGAGTGCTACGGGGCTGCTGGCTTTGTGGACTCCGCCCCGCCCGCCCGCCCCCGCACAGGAGGCAAACCCGTGATTGTGGCTAACGCACCTTTGCCCGCGGAGGGGAGCGACCGCCGCTGCTCCCATTTGCCACACACCGCCCCGTGTCCCTCACGCCTCTTTGACCCCACCGCCTCAATCCTTTCTGGAAGTAAGAGGGGTACAGATAAATATAAAAATTATAGATTCTATTTTACGGGGCATGAGCTGAGAGATTTCCCTGGCCGCTTAGAAAATTCAGCTCCTGACGCACAGGAAATGACTTCTGTGTGGAGATTTCACAGCCTGCAGGAAGCAAAAATCTCTTTTTAGATAGTGTGTACTTGGCTGAACTTGCTCCAAGAAACATGGCCTCATTAAACCAAAGGATTATAATGAAAAGAGGCTTTTGACATTGCACTGGAGGAAGCTGGGAGCGGCCCAGGCGTTTAGGAAGGAGAGGAGGTGGGAGCCCCACTGGATGTTTGAAAAGCTGAGAAATCAAGGTCTCCAGTCAGGCTATTTAGATAAGGTTGCCAAGGACTTTGTCTAAAAATACCAGCCTGCAGAGAGGTGGGGCCTGTCCGCTGCCTGCCCAGATGTCAGGCCCTTTGTCCCACTGTCTCCTGGCACCGGCCTGGTAATCTCAGTCCTGGTCCGGAGGAAGAGGCACTAGAAGGGTTGGGCCTCTAGCATGTGAAATAACTTTTTCTGGCCTCTGCTGGTTTGGGCTATTAGAGCCCACAGGCGCCTTCATGACTGCAGTTCCCTTTGGGAGTGAGAGGTGGCCTCATTTAAGATGCTGGTTGAAGTCCCTTGGCTTAGAGAGGGGCGAGGCAGGTGTCCTGGTTCCATTGTGTGGAGAGCATATCCTTCATGAGTATACAAAACTTCCCTCCCCTACAGGCAAACTGGTCTTGACTGTGGCTCTCACTGGCCAACCCATAGTGCTGAGGCAAAGCCACCAGGGCAGAGCCTGGGGCAGCTTGGTATGTAGCGATGCTAAAATAATAGTTTTACAAAAAGAAAAATAAGACTAATTCTGCCCATAGAAATGTGGGAGCCTCCCCAGGGGGGTTTGAGCAGGGCTTTGAAAGACGAAGAAGGCGCTTACCAGGCTGTCAAGAGCCTCCTGCTGTTTACCTCTGCATGGAGCATAATAGCACCAACTTTTCAGAGTCATCAGTCATGCGGTAGGTTCTCAGGAAAAGTGTCAGACATATACTATTTCTCCAAAGGGAGACTCCTAGAGCAATGAATATGCTTAGGACCCTTCAGGTAGCAACCCCATTCCCAAGACTGTCTCCTAAGAAAAGACGTCACCGAACCAAGCAAAAAGCCCCATGCAGAAAACTGTCCATTCCGCATTATCTCTAATTGTAGAAAGCTGGAAAGAACCTAAATGTTTGTCCAGCGCCTTGACCTTGGGTATAGAGGATTTGGGGCCCACGTGTTGGTGTATCAGACAGGAGTTAAAGGTGGCTGGGTTGAAGTTGGTAGAAAGGATTCATTTTCCACACATTTCTCGAGTGCCAGCCATAGGGCTTGACAGTATTCTGTCGACGAAAGAACATCCGAACCTATAGAAAACTTTCGTAAGAATTTATTTGAGCCGAATTTTTGAGGTCTCAGTAGACTGAGACGGTGTTCCAGAGAGAGGCAGTTTTGCAGCTCGTTTCGTGTATTTAGAATCAAAACGTAAGGCGAGTTACGGGAAATCCATCGGTGGCTGAGTAAGGAGGCAGGAGAAAGCAAAGTCGGGGAATCTCCACGATTGAGTAAAAAGCAAACGAAGAGGCAGACACTTCTACATGGGCAGGTACGGAAAAGTTAACATTTAACTAGCAATGAGGATTTCTGTGGTCTTGTGCTCTGGTGCCAGCCAGCAGTTGTGCCTTCAAGGGGTCTGAAAAAGAAAATCACTCTGACAGTTCAAAGGCGGGTTATCCTAGATGCTGAGAACGATGGACAGGGCTCACTTGAGGTAAAGACTGACCTTTGCTAAGGAAGCTGTAGACATGGATGTGCCTGCCCAGTTAGGAATTTGTGATCAGATCATCGATGTGTTTACTTTTGGTCCTTGAACTTGCCAGACTGAGCTTGTTGGGTCTACTCTGTTGCCTTCCCCGCCCTTTTCATTCATAACTGGGTCATGAGGAAAACAGCCATGCCTGGCTCCTGCCACAATCTAGAATAGCAATACCGCC